CGATTTCCGTATAAAGAAAGTCATGCAGCCACGGTCGAAATTGTGCAAAAATCGAGATTCAGACGAGCAATCTGACGTGGGAATTTGAAATGCAAAGTTCAATCGACAACGACAGATTAACGAAACCGAAACGATTAATAAACCATCAAGCTCTTCGAAATAAACCCCAATCTCTCTTTCACACGCAAACACAATCATCGGACTAAAAATAAGAAAAAAAGAGAAAACTAAAAATAAAAATACCAAAGACTAGAAATTAAAAATAAAAAGACCAAGAATAAAAAAGAGGAGACAGCAAGGCAAGATTTTCCTGAAAGAATCCAGGCAGTTGGTCGGCTACAGACACCACCCTGAGCAAAATTGAGCTCGCTTCCACTCGATTTCTTTCGGCTCGACCTTCTTCCTCTTTTCCGCGATAGAGGCGCAGCTGCGACGCTCGAAAAGACAAAAATGCGTCGATCACGAATGGAAAGCCGCGCGATGTTCGCGGCGCGAACTAGCCCGGACGTTGGCAAAGATCGGCCGGCGAACGCAGAGCGAATTAATTTGCCGCTTTCTTGAGGAAGAATGCGTGGCACAATAATTATTGCATCGTCGGGTTGACCGTGTTCGCCGTGCGCATCGCGTGCGTACCGGCGCAGCGCGGCGCGGCGGCGGCGGCGGCGGCGGCGGCGGCGGCGGCGGCGGCGGTCGGTCGATCGCCGCCGGCCGCCTTTTCTTCGTTTTTCCTAATGAGCGCGCCGGTCGCGCCTTGTTCATGTACGCGCGTACATACGTCCCGGCGACTCGAGTCGAGGAAGCAATTTGCAGTAAAAGCGGCCGATTGAGATAAGAAAGAGAGACGCCGGCTAGGAAGACGCGCGCCGACGGAACCGCACCTGCGGACCGCGCTCTCGAGCCTTGCCTTACGTGCTTAGCCGCTCTCGCGAGTCAACAACCTTTAATTTTCGCACACAGTCAACGAACCAACGGGAACGCCAAACACCGTCGGCGAGCGTGTGGATTCCGCATTCGGCGTAATACTTCCGATTTCTCGCGATCCTCTTTCGGACTTTCGCACGTCATCGCGCGGGAGAAGCGCGTCTCTCGCGTTTGCTTTTCTTCCTTCTCCGGCCGCGAGCCGTCTCGAAGTCGAGCTCGAACGTTAGCTCCGGATCTTAGCAGCGTGCGATGTCGTTTCATCTGGAAATTCACGCGTGCTGGAAGATAACTCGCTGACGAAAGCGAAAAAGGGGGAAAGGGAGTTGCGGCGTCGCGCCTCGACGACACCTGTTATCGTCGCTCCGTCGACATTATTAAGGCTATAATTAAATCAATTGTGCGGAATAACATCGAAGTTAGCGTGTCGCGGGAAATTTCCTCGCTTAAATTACCGCGATAATTTCAGCAAATTATATGGCCCTTAATTAAAAATGCCAGGCCAATGAAGAATTTGTCCGCGCGATTAAATCGCGTTCTGCGCGCCGATCGGTTTGATGAAATTCGCGCAAAAACATTGTGTGCAAAAGCGCTCTCGAGCGTATAATGGAATTCTGCATTTATGCAAATTATTCTCGACGCACCGATTGCGAAACGCGACAACAAGTTGCGTGCGCGAGTTGAAGGAAGTCGGAACGCGAATGCGCGTATGAGCGGTACTTGTCAAAATCACGGGGAGAACGTGCGTACAACGCGCGACCGCCTCATCAATCCAAGCCTGGCCAATTAACATTACAATAAATCCAACGACGCGAGGGAAAAGAAGTGATATAATTTCGACGAATCGATCGCAGAGCCGATCGCGTGGGTACGCGGGTGTGCGTGTGTGTGTGTGTGTGTGTGTGTGTGTGCCGCGCGCGAATGCGAATCGGCAGATTAATTTATCGTAAGACTTATTTGTCGCTACGCATTATCATTACCCGCGTGTTTCTCATGCGCATAACTAATCGCCGCTATTTTTTCCAGAGAGAAATAACGGCGCAGACGGAGCGAAGGGATTCGCATTCACCGTTCTCGATCGCGCGCGTTTCTCGCGCACGTGCAGTGCGCATTGCCGTAGCATCGATACGCACTCTCTAAATTTCTCGCCGGAGATTTTCGCACGAAATGAGGTGAGAATTCAACCGAAGCGATACAGCGGAAGCTCCGCCGCTCGGAATCGCAGGAGCGGACGTTCAACTCGAGCTCGGATTCCTCATACGGGCGAGTGAATGTTTCAAGCGGTTCAGCTAAATCCGTTTCCGTGACGATGTTTGCAAAACAAGTCGTGTGCGTCGGGCTCGCTCTTCGACGCCGACTCGGAAACGTTTACTCGACGATCCAGAGCGGACAATTCGCACTCTGCGCGCGAGCGAAAGGTCGCTCGAACGTCCGAATAAAGTTTCACCGGAAGACATCGAGCACACCGCGCAGCAAGATCGGCTGAAAAGAACCGAGTCCCAGCTTGATCGTTTCTCACAATGTGGACATTCCTCGACACCCATTCGATAGTGGAAAGTCTCGTATTCGGATTGGCGGTATCCGCTATTAGTCGCCACCACCGCGAACACCGACGAGTATATCGGGCGTCTTTTGTGGCGACAATCGAAGAGAAAACGTCTGAAATCGTCGGATGGTAATATCGCGGTCAGTGGAAACAACCGTAACGCAACCAAGAGAGAGAGGGAGAGAGAAAGGGGGGATCGATAGATTTTGAGAGATCAGTATCACGATCGACTTGACGAGAGAGAGAGAGAGAGAGAGGGATCGAAGATTTCGAAAGATCAATATCACGATCGACTTGGCGAGCGAGAGAGAGAGAGAGAGAGAGAGGTGACGAGCAGGATATTACGGTCGTTTAGCGCGCGAGATATTTGCGCGAGCCTGCGATGAGCTGTAATTTTCAGCGTTCGTGCAATTCTCCGGCGGATTGTTCCCCCGAGACCCGCTAAGTGATCCTAAAAGCTCTCTCTCTCTCTCTCTCTCTCTCTCTCTCTCTCTCTCTCTCTCTCTCTCTCTCTCTCTCTCTCTCTCTCTCTCTCTGTCTCGCCTCGCTCTCGCGGCGCATTAATTCTCGGTGCCGGTGCGCAATCTCGCCTCGTATATTTCATTACGCCGGCCGATCTCACCCTAAATACCCCGCCGGCCGCTGTATTATTTACCGTTTTCGTTAAGTGTCAGCTTGTTACCGGGATGTTCGGATGTGTCGGCAGAGCGCGGCGATGGGGGGCGGGGGGGGAGGGGGGAGCGACGCGCAGCCGACCGTTTAGGTTCTCAACAGGCAGGCAGGTATGCCTTGCGCATACACGAGCGTCTTGCGCCGAAGCGGCGCGTTAATTGCGCTTGCAACTTAGTTGCGTTGCGTGCGCGCTCATAAGGAAGAGGCCCTCGGGGTGTTACAGTAGAAACTGCGTCGTACTTTAAGAACGGCGAGCGTGTTTGCGCGCGCGTATTCGACGTGTGAGTAGGCTCACGTACACATCTTACCGTACCGTATCGTACAGCGTGCGTCTATGCACTCGGCCATGTAACCGCCGACATGCCGAACCATTCGGATTCCATGCAAATGGAACATCAATTTGGCGACCTCGCTTGCGCGTCTCTGACTCAGACGCTCGAGTGTGAAATTATTTTCTCCTTATGCAACGATTACATCGAGAGATCGCCGTCACCTCCTCGGTCCTCGCGAGAGGCTCCTCGCGTCGGGCTTCTCCGGAGGATAAACGCAGCCCGGTGAAGTGGAATAAAATAGGGTTGCCAGATTTGAGAATTGAAAAATTTCGATGGGCTTTCGAAAGAGTACTGGAAATGTGTACAGATGTGTACAGTTTGTGAAGATTGTACCGATAGATAAGAGACAAATTTAATCATCTGGATGATGTTTTCCATTTTAGCCGGACAGCGCCGGATATTGAGATGACAAAATCTGGCAAATTCAGATGAAGGGAGAGAGAGAGAGAGAGAGAGAGAGAGAGAGAGAGAGAGAGAGAGAGAGAGAGAGAGATCGGTTCGTCAAAGCGCGGCGGGATCGTCTCGACACGGGAAACGGGCGCGGCGCTGCGCACCGCGTCTTTTGTGGGCTAATCTCTGCCTAATTATCGAGCGGTTAATAGCCTGTGCGCCGGCTATTTAACTTGACGTTTCCCACGGAAAATTCCCGCGCACGCACGAACTCGCGTCGGTAATGAACGTCGTGGTCGCTCGCGATATAGGAAATCGTCGGTCGCCAAAGAGCCGCGCAGCAGCGTTCTCCCTCCGCGCGCTTGTTGACGGTCTCTCCACTCTCGTTCTCTTTTGCTCTCTTTCTCTCTCTCTCTCTCTCTCTCTCTCAATGTTTAGCGTAATTTAATCCGTTTAACCTCCGCAGGCAAACATTATTTTAGATAAGATAAAAACGCAGCTGTAAATTTCGAAATTGTCAATAAGCGCGTTACGGGCCAGTTGAGAAGTTTCGTCGTTGCGTAAAATAAATTATCTCACGGGTTACACCTGGCGTGAAATTGCGAGTCGAGATAAGCAGCGGGGTCGGCTGCTTAATTCGAGATACTTTCTTCGACATTCGCGCGACATTGACATATGGCGCAAGGGTGTGACGCGCATTGACGCAACGAGATCGCGCGCGATCGTGCAAACGAAGTGGCCCGAAGTCCGCGGTTGTAAACAGGATTTGTGAATAATTTCGGAGGAAGTCATGTGTCACATGTTTCTCTGGGGGTTTAACCGCGGTTCACGGGATTCACGGACGCGATAACACACACTCGGCTAATCTCGGAACGCAAATTGTTTTGGCTAATCCGCACGCACGCATGTTTCCTGCCGACGCATTCGAGACGGACGGATAAGCCGGAGTAAAACGGAACGATATTATTGTGCGTGACGCTATAATTCTTCGCGACGGCGCGAGGTGCGAATCGTACGAAATCGCGGGGGACAACGACAAATCGGTAACACCGCTATCTCGGTCGCTATCCGCTCGAAAACGCAACGCGGCGCTCGGTCGCTCTCGAGTTCTCAGTCAGAAGGGAACGAGAAAACACGTCGCCTCTTTTCCACGCATTTTAATCTGTTAATTGATGAACACAACAAAATATTCGCATTAAACAATTCCTACATGTAAAGGGATCGGGGATAATCTACCGCGCGATATTCTCATCTCTTTCCACAAAGTCTACCGCACCTGTCACTTCGACGTAGAACAGTCGTTGGCAGCAGGATGCTTTCGGCAACTCGTACTTCGGGGAGAGCACCGCTTCACGATCGATGTTGGATCGTGGCGGGTGAAAATCCCTCGGGTGCCGGTATCGACGAGCGCATCGGCGCCATATGTTAACATGTGCAAGAGCCGTTGCTCTATTCTCGCAAAAAGCGACTAATAAAAGAATAACTTGTCGACCTTCGATGTAGGCTACACTTCGCGGCGACTGGGCCGTCTCTTTTCCACCGCCGCGAGTCTCTCCCTCCCCATCAGCTGTTTTCTTCTATCTTTATCTCTCTCTCTCTCTCTCCCCCCCCCTCCCTCCCGCATTGCACTCCGTAAGTGTGCACCAGCTGTGTCCTGCGACTGTGTGCGTGTACGTGCGCGTTGCCAACTTTCCCGTATCATAATACACAGTGAAAGAATGTGGTTTCCCTTTCAAATTACAAAATATGTCAGGAGCGCGCGCCGGTTACGCCGGCGTGCACTTCCTTCATTTCCTCGACTCTGTTCTCTTCCGTCGATCCGATAATCAAGTTCCAAGTGACTTCGCTTCGCTCCTCTCGCGAGCTCGATGTCGTCTCACCACGACTCGGTTCAAATTACAAAATATCTCAGAAGCGCAGAGACGTCAATCTCACGTTCACATATATTAGTGAGAAAACGTGTAACGCCCGTGTAACGGTGGTGTTTGCACACTTGTCGCATTTGCATTTAATGTATTCGCTCGTATATTTCAGAGCCGAGGCTCAATCTTAGCTCGAGCCTCGCGCAGGCGCGCATCTTCATCATCCGCGAGCTCGATTGAAAACTCACATCCCGCTGACAAGCGGAACACCGCGGTCTCTAAAGGTTCAAACTGGAAAGGACAGCAGCTGCGTCTGAAACCTTGATTGAGATATTACATTGCCACAGGGGCGCGCAGTTTTATTATTGAAGAAGGACTTGACCCAGATTATCGGCGAAACAAAAAGAGAGAAGAAAGACACCCAGGCGATCCATCCTGGACTGTGAACCTGTCCGTCCCGACGTCATCTACGTCGAGCGGCCACGGTATCGCCGTCGGCGACGATTTGTATCATCTTTCATGTTATTAATTTAGACAGGAAAGGATTTATGTGGGCTGCACGATGAACCGGGTCAGGGACGCGGTTCTGCACGCGTGCGAGCGCGTGTGTGTGTGCGCGCGCTAGGCAAACCACCCGGATTCAAATTCCCTCGCTTATTTATTAACGATGAAAAATTCATGTTATTATGGCGACACAGCCTTGCGTCGAGGATATCTGACATGACTGTTGACAAAATATTTAGATACAACCGTTCTCTCTCTCTCTCTCTCTCTCTCGAGACACTGATTTTTCGGGCGTCATCTCGCTCTTGTATTTTTGCCCGATTAAAATTATTGTTCAACAAATAATTCTGCCGATAACCGCGCTCGTGCGATTCTTTAAAGGTCACTTTACTTTTGCATTTTCGGATAATCCAGATAATTAAGATAATTAATTTGGATAATAAAGACAACTGTCGCAGAGACAGACGCGCGATCGGGGATTCACACGACGCCTTCTTAATGCGAAGCGTTTTATTCGTACGAGTGGCGTGTAAATATGCAGACCGTTAATTAATTCCATCGCATAATTCACAAGAACGTTCAATTAACGATTACATGCGCTCCCTCCGGCGTTTGTATCTCGCGCGAGAGGATGCGCTTGGTCGTAAAGGAAACGCGACGCGTACACGGCGAGTATAAAAAAAGAAATTAATAACGCGGAAAAAGCGCTGCGCGCTTTCTCGTGTGTAGACAACAGGTTTTCTTCCTCCATCGTAGCTGCTGCTGTTGCCGCCGCCGTTGCTGCCGCCGTTGCTAATCCCTTCGCCGTAACTTCAGTACTTAAGAATACCCCGAACGGCAGCGAAGCAACGCCACTTGTCCGGCAGGTAAAACGGCTCGAAGACGTGCGGGAAAGGACAGTCCCATCCGGTGACCCTTTGAACCGGCGCCTCCAAGTACAAGAAGCACTCCGCCTGTTTTCGCCGGTTTCGCGATATGAGTATCGGAGATACTTTACGTGTGCGCGTTGATTAGCTCATGCGATTAGTTCGCTCGTGCAACACAGGGAACGTGAACGCGCTCGGGCTTTCGATCATCTCTCGGCTGGTTCGTTCTCTCTTCTTCCTTTGGAACTGTCCCACCGTCGCGTCGTCTCGGCTCGGCGATTAATCACCGGCAATTAATCGGTCGATAAATTCGAGAAACAAGCGATTAATCGGACACGCATTCGGAACCGGTTTCGACTTCGGTTTATAGCACCTTGCGCGCCCTGTGCGCGCGGAATATTAGCATCTCGCGCGACAACGTGTTAGGCATTAGTCGCGGCGCGGCGCGGCGCGGCGCGGCGCGGCGCGGCACGGCGTGTCTCGGCCGGCACCTCGCCGAGGACTCTTCCGAGGCAACGTCGGTCCGCGCATCGTCGCACAATGGGTTCCGCGTGTGTGCATGCATCTGGCGTGATTGCGTTACGGATGCCTTTATAGACCGGCGGCACTTTCTATTCACGGTTGCGCAAACCGGCCGGTCTCCTCCGGCCGGTATTGTTGGGTCCGCGAATCCGCGAGCGAGCCGATGAAAAGGGGATGAGGAAAGAGAGGAGAAACAGCTCGCCTTACCTGCACGGTCGCGGCGATCTCTGCCCCGAATCCGTTCGTCATCGGCGCTTCGTGGGCGATGACGACGCGTCCAGTTTTCCTCGCCGACTGCAACACACATATACATATATATATATATATATATATACACACATACATGGCACGTACGTATTTCGCGCTCGGTGTAATTTATCAGTCGGCCGGTCGTGGCGAGATCAATTCGCGCGGTGATTTACGTCTCGTCCTATATTGTGTCGCGGTGTAATAATAACTCGTATGTATACGCGCGCGCGCGCGCGGCGGCCCCCGATGGCTAAGTGGCCGCGTCGCATTAACGCACCGGCCGCCGAGCGGCACGAGCCGTTTTGTAACGGCTATCAAATGCAGGCTACACGTGAGACCGACGACGACGGAAATACGGACCGGGCGGGAACGGCTGCCGCCGAGCGGCACCTTGTGCGCCTCGTTGTTGTAAATCCGTTGACAAAGGTAACCAGATAAGCGGGCGCGACTGGTCGCGGGAAACGCCGCGCGTCGAATATGGGTTCACGTGCAGCGTTGACATTTTCCACTCGCAGCGCACCTCGCGCCTCGCGAACTCGGCGGAGTCACCGCGGTCTTCCGTCGGCCGAAGCCGGGGCTTCCCTAGATTTGCCGGGGTGAAATTTCACTCGGAAGTCGCCAACTCGAATTTTTATTTTATTTCTTATTTTATTTATTCATAATATACGCAAAGGGTGCAATTTGGTTTGGTGTTTACATTACTTGAGAATGGTATAACGACGTAATCCTGATACGAAATCCTGATACGGTTAAGATTTAGGTAAAATATTAGTTAAGATACAAATTTTCCATTTTTCCTTTTTCCTTCCCATTGTCTTTTTTCTTTTCGAGCAACTTTCCGCTCGTACCGAGCGAATGAATCCTCCGCTCTGAATATATCGCGGATCCGCGAGTGAACGCTCGCACTCGAAAGCGCAGAGAGCGAATTCGACGCTCGGAGCGCTCGGAGTCTCGCGCGGAAACGCATTCGCCTTGATCGAACTCTGCTATCTGTAATTTAGGTCTTACGTCGAATTCTCGATATTATATCTCACTTGTACGTTCGAAAAATCCCATTCGTACGGATCGGCAATCCACTCCGAGTCCGAGCGAAACGTTCACTCTCTTACGACTCCGAGCGGCGATATTTTCGCTTCGAGTAAGCGTGCGACTGTCGAGCCCCTCGAGCGGATTTTCATTCGTTTCGAGTGAGATTTCACCGCCAGGAAATTTCAACAGTACGCTTCCAGCGCGCTTATCCGATTGATATTTATGATATTCCGCGACGTATGTCCGCGCGACAATTAACCTTTTAACAGGCGCCGCGTCACACACTCGGACTATTGCCCCCTCGGCGAGGCGATTTCTCGATTTCGAAAGGAGAAAAATCAGCATCTGTCGATTTATAGGCTCTTAAAGGCCCTTTGTGCCTATCACTCGATTGACCGTCGGCAGAGCCTCTCTCTCTCTTTCCTAATTAAGTAACTTTGCTTCTCAAATAACTTTTACTTCCCCGATTCGAGAATAGCGAGACGGAGAAAGAACGAGGAGGACCCTGATGGAAAATCGTCCCGAGTACGAGCATTCGTGTCAAAAATAGAACCGTGACACGTCTCTCTCGTGTCTCTCAGTTGACAATCCGCCGCGTAATAAGCACCCGTGATCAAAACGCTCGCGCGTCCGCCGCGCCGCACCGCCCGTGTATTTACCAGGCAGCCCGCTTCTTCCGAACGGCGCAATCAACGAGTCCCGTCAGCCTCTTCGCGCGAGTTACAACGATCTCTCTCACCGAGGCGATGTATCAGAATTTCGTTCGAGCGGTTTGGTCTCGTTACGAAACCGCGCGCGTGCGCGCGCGCGGAGTTTTGCAGGCAGGCAAGCAACAGGCAGACATCGGCGGCGAGTAGACAAGACGGCGAATCCGCGACTGTATCGAAATTGCGGCGAAACGGGTTTCCAATTACGCTTACCTCGTCGTGTACGGTGCATAGGTACACACACACACACACACACACACACACACACACACACACACACATACACGCTCGTGCGCACCGCTATATAATATCAGCGGTTTGTAAACCGTGAGCGCGTACTGTACGATCGGCATATCATTAAGCGACCGGAGATCGATTAGCATAAATCAGCGCGATATTAGCGTCTATGGAAATCCGTACTATCGTAACCCGAGGGGGGCATGCGCGAGTCGCTCGCTTCGTTCGCTCACGACCACTTTTCATCCCGCTGTTGGACGCGTCGCCGCGACACAACATCCGCTTCTTCATCGCCGATGCGGCGCGTTTTACCGTCGCTGTAGGATCGCACCGCGATATCGGACGAGCGAGAATCCCCGCGATCGTCTCCCTCCCTCTCTCTCTCTCTCTCTCTCTCTCTCTCTCTCTCTCTCTCTCTCTCTCTCTCTCTCTCTCTCTCTCTCTTTCTTTCGCGTCGCCCGACATTCCGCGACTCTCGCGAGAACGCCTCCCCGCGCCAGCGTGGGCGACGTGATCGGCAATCTTGGCGATCGTCGAAACGCGCGTCTCGTCTCGTCTCGATCGTGGCGACGATTTTTGTCCACGCGATTTCGGAATCGAGCACGGTCATCTATCCGCGCATGGAGAAAGACGTTTCTTTCCGCTGAGGGGACAGCTGAGCGCGTATTTTTCAGAATCGTTATATCGGTAACTTATCTCGCTCGAGATACTGGAATTTGCTCTGAATTTAGAGTCGAGTGTTTTTTTTTTTCAATCGAATCGAATATATCTGTGATATATCGATAGCTAGTGAGCGATATCACGTATCTGCGAAGATGGCCCCTCTCGGATTTTAGCCGATTAATTTTTATCAATTAACTTTTATCAATTAATTATTTATAAAATAAAGAAAAGATCCGATCGCGCGCGATCCGAGCGCGATTGAGAGCGGAGCGAATCTTCCAGATTCCCACATTTCTCCCGAGAACCTTCGATTCCACACGTACGTCGATGCGCGACATTATGTTCCCAATCGCGATGGGTTTCACGAGCGAGAGAGAGAGCGCGCGCGCGCGCGCGCGCGCGTTATCGCGATGGAGAACGAGAAAGCTGCCTTGAGCGGCCGCGAGCGCGATGTCTTAGTCTCAAGGAAAATATCATAATAACGACGGAGAAATGAGATTGCCCACCTTGCAGACGAGTTCCGCGTCCCAAGGTAGAATGGAGACGAGGTCTATCACTTCGCAGGATACGCCGAGCTTCTCCCGCACCAGGTCGGCCACCTCCAGCAGGACGTGCACCTGAGTGCCCCAGCCCACGAGTGTGACCGCGTCACCTACGTGACAAACGAAACAAAGTACGTAGGTACAAAATGTGCGAGCGCGCATAGTCGCATAATAATCGTTCCACCTTGCACAACACAGAGTTCTCGCGCGCGCGCGAACGATCGCGTATGTGCGCGCGTTCCTTCTGGCGTATCCTGTTTCAGGACCGGTCATCGGCGAGAGTGCCGCTGCTCCGGCGATTGGATAATGGAAGGAGACGGTTACACTCGGTAAATTATATTCGCGGAGGCTCGATGCGCGCGTATGCGCGCCGATGGCGCGAATCGTTACTTTCTGCGACTTGAAATAATGTCCTTTACGTGCCTTCTTTTCTCCTTGGGAGAATGCGCGTTGCGCGAGAGCAGATGCTGGACAGAGACGGGAGAGAAAGAGGGAAAGAGATAGATACGGCCGGCTTATGGGAAGAACATTTTCGAAGGATGATCTTACGGCAAATGTTAATCAAATCGCGGCGCGCGATCGTTTCCGCGTTTCAGTCTGGTTCGCGCGTTTGGCAACGTGAATTATAAGACCGTCGTCGTGCGATCCGAGCAGCATCGCTTTTCAAGCGATGTTATTGCTCACCGATCGATGTAAATGTCACGAACGTCGATGATCGCTACCAAACCGGGGTTGGGAAGTAACGCGTTGCATGCAACGTCATCATAACGTTGCGAGTCATTTCGCTCCGTCAACATTACGTTTCTCTCTCCTTTTTTTCTTTTGTCAACAACGGTAACTCTGACATATATTTGACGCGTAACAATGAGGAATATGCTGTAAGAATTCTTTACTTCCTGAGTAACGATAACAAGTTGTTGTTTATCAAAATGACTGTAACTCTGATGAGTTATTCTTTTCTTTTCTCTCTAATGACTAAGCGAGCTGAGTGTTGTCTTCTGACAGATGGCGAGTTACTCTTAAAAAGCAGCTTCTCCAGCCTTGTCCCAAAGACGAGACCGAGCCCCAGGCTTGAACGCCGTAAAACGACGGCTGTTACCTTTCCTCACGACCTCAGCCTTGCCGATTTCGATCTTGTAGTGACCCACGGGCACATCGTCGACCGCCTTGCGGTAGAGAATCTTGGGTTCAAACATAATACACGGATCCGGCTCTTCTATGCAGCTCAACAGCAAACCTTTCGCGTGCATCGCTCCGCGAGGCACGACGATCTGAAAAAGAAGCGGGTACTCCTGTGAGAAACGCATAATTGGTCCTGACGATTTCCTCGTTCACCTCGCTCACCGCACCGCACGCGGATAAGCCGCCGCGCCGCCGGTCGGTAATCGGCGGCTGCGATTCTCCGACGGCCTTAAAACGCGCGCGTGAAATTGATCGACTCCGTCGGCGCGATATTACGCATCCCTCTCGTAATCGCGCGATGTACGATAGCAGCGACGGTCGGGCATTAGTGCGCGCCGGCGAAACTTTCTTCATGCATACGTAGAGTGTATACGTCGTACAATATTCATGGAATTTGTTGAAGAAAGTTGAGAACCGGCGCGGAACACACAGCGAAGGCACGAAGGGTGTCCTTGATGGTGGAAATCTAGTAGCATCGACCGTACGCTGCTCTTCCCGACTTGAAGGACACTTTAAGTAACAATCGAATTTAATTGTATCTCATCATCTCCGAAGAGGGGAAACGCTTTACTCGCTGTTACTCGCGTTAGAATATTGGTGCGTTAGAATATTGGAATATATTGGTTGACCTTCAGGCCAGGAGTGTGCGCGAAGTAAGCCTCTGGACTTTGGGAATGATAAAGACCGCCGTGGCCGACCGCTCCGCAGGGTGCACGGACCGTAAGTTTGCCGCAGTCGAACATGTTGCCGCTTCGATATCGCATCTTGGCCGCTTCGTTTACCAACTGTGGATACAACAAATGTGTGTCTGCATAGTATCGTTGGATCAACTTGAAACGAATTATCGCGTTGCGCTCTGAACGATCAATAATCGATTATATTTCACGCAAACACGTTTTGACGTTTTCTTTATCTTCGAGCAAGAGTACATCTTTTCTAATTTATCGTACATTTGTGTGGCTTAAGGCGCTCTTAAGCGACAAATCGAAGATTTATATAGGATAGGAGAAAATTGTTTCGAGCAACACCTGATCGAAGGCTGGAAATATGTAGTCCGCGAATTGGATTTCGGCGATCGCCGACACTCCAGCGTTGGCTAAGCCGATTCCAAAACCGACTATCCCCTGCTCGCAGAGAGGCGTATTGAAGACACGATCACCGCCGAAGTGTTTCTTCAGGTTCATGGTGCAACGGAAAACACCTCCGAACGCTACGTCCTCGCCGAATATCACTAAAAGTTTTATAAGAAACGATTAGCTATCTAGAATCTCGAGACTATTTCTCATGAAAGATACAAACACGATTTGGATTCATCTTTGTATAACAAATGAAAAAAATTAACGCGGTGTTTTGGGGTGAAACGAGAAATTAAAATCGAAGTAATTTGCGCAAATTATGCGTGTCTATCCAAGCTCCTAATGTAATTCTGTAAAATCGAACACTTGCCAGTGCGCGGATTGTTCTCCATTGCGACGGTGAGCCCTTCATTTATGGCTTGAAACATATTCAGCTTTTGAGTCTCACCTGAAAATACAAGTGTTGAAATTATTGAGAAATTTCGATATATTCGCGTCTGGCGGGGAGCACTATTTTGACATTTTCAATATTCACAAACGCCAACACGAGTCAACATTAGTAATCGAAAGAATTATTGCAAAAATACCAAGGAGATAAAAATAATAGAGTTGCATGTAACAATAGGAGTAATTATCGTAGAAATAATTGACATGTATGAAACTCGAACTCAATCGCGCGAAACAAACGCGCGACGCAACATCGGGTTGGATCTTTGAACGATCGTCCGAGTGATTTCTATAATTTCGTTTAATCAAGACAATTACGATAATCGGCCGTTTTTCTACTGATGTTTTCGTTTTGCTACCTCGTGAATCACTTGAATCTGTTCGTTTCTCGCAAATGAATAGAACAAATGAATAGAAGAAGTCGTGTCGGCCATATTGACGCGATCCGAGGATCGCAATCGTGATTACCGGTGTTATTCGGCCTCTCGCTCGGAAAGTAGGTAAAGTGCGCCGCCCTGACATGTTTGAATTCGATGGCGGGAGCGGCGACGCGACTCAACAGCTGCTTTCCTCCGCCGCACGCGGCGTTTCGCACGAGCCGCACGCTTAGTTTGCCGAGCATCGTCCTGCGTGGAAGCGCGCCACTGCTCGGACCAGGTGTCACGTGATCACGTTATACGTGTAGATTGGCGTTTGCCAATTTGCGTTTCCGCTCTTATCTCAATTTACACACAATGTGAGCAGGCGACCGGCGCGCGGAGAAGGGCGAACGGCCTTTCGCGCGACCTCAAGCGGAATTTCGTAAATTTCAAGCAACGTCGACCTCGGGAAAGGCAACGCTTGCGCAACGAACGAGTGAACGTTCCAGCACGCGTTCAGCGAGCGACCGCCATTTGTACTGCCAACGTTCGCCTCGAATTGGCGGGATTTTCTAAATTTCCGACTCGCTAAGTTCCAGCCAGCACTTCGAAGGTCACAGATTTCTTCTCCCCGGCTGAACCAGATTGCGCTTTTTACGCTCGGAATGAGAAACTAGTATATTATATAACCCAGCGTTAGAGCTTTCCAATCGAGTAATTGCACTAGTTGTGAGCCGAGGAGAGAGAGAGTAGAACGCCTGCTGCTGCGTTCGTCGAAGCTTCCAAGGGTTCGAAGGACGAATTCGTTCGTTGATTCGACACTCGATCACCTACACATGGCCGTTGACAGACGCACGACCCCAAACGAGCAATTGACCGGCGTCGGGCCGGCAGTTACAACACACCTCGATATCGCGCACGCGAGCGAGAACTGCGTGTGTCTTTCCTGCGTGTGTCTTTCCGAACGCGCGTCGTCGGCCGGACAAACAAGAGTGGGAGCAGAACGCGGTAATCTGCGCCATTCTGTCACGTGTCGCATCACTTGCTGAATCGTTTTACGCTTATCGAGTCACTTTGCTCGCCTATTCTCTCCATTGAACTTGATCAATGGCATTTCGATGATCGCGAAACGACGGCTGGCGTAATCATATTCGCCAAAGTTGCGAATTTAGAAGCTTGCTGACGTAAACGTAGCGGACTTTTACGCTTGAGCGCATTTAACGGTATCGTTTTGTTGCTTTTGACTTCTTTATTATTGTTATTGTTTTATTTTCACTTTATTCTGTTTTGTTTCTACTGCAGATCGCAGGCGGCCGGGCTTCCGTATGAAGTACTCGACGAGTACGGTGTTTGCACACTTGAAGCGGCTTTGAAAAAGGTCAGCGGACTTGAATTTCTTCTTTTATTTTCTCTCAACAATGTCAATGTCGCAAAATTATTTATTTTACCGACCGATCAGCCGCCAGGGAAGAATGTCGTTACGAGCTTCTCGGAGAAGCTGCGTGCATCTAGGTAGCGTCCCGCACGCGAATCGATGTAACGGACGTTGCGGCAGACTCTGTTCTGCCAGCACGGAAACGCGGCTCCTGTGGCCGCGGGACAGGATCTGCCATTACGGACTCGTGAGAGCAAGACGCGTTCTCCCGGATCGGGGAGAACAAGCAACTCAAATTCAATTGTTTTCTCGTTGAGCAGGGCTACACCCTCCTGGCCTTCCACTGGTTGATCCTGGATTAATGGCAAACATGAGTGATAGATCGAGTAACGGTGATTACAAATATCAGAGAGACGATGAAGATAAGTCTTTAGTCAGACTTCCGCTGGACAAGGACCAGGATAAGGAGCATCAGATTGATAAAGCCAGCGAGCTTGTGCGCGAGCTGCTTCAGGAAAAGATCGAGATCAATCAGAAACTGCCCCATGCGACTCGGCTGCTGGACTTAGGTGAGTAAAGACGAGCCTGCCGGTTTTTTGTTGTCACCGTTTCGTGAAATGAGTTCTCCGAATCCGGCAGACACATTGATCTCTCGCGAATCACTGTTCTGCCGAACTTCGACGGACTCGGAATCTTTCTTGTGACGAAACATTTGAATAACAATAAAGATGTGTGCGCGTGTGTTTAGTTAAAGTTTAAGGTGGCAATCTGAATGCTTTGCTGTAATATTGGATATTGTTTCTTATAGAGATCCAAAAGATACAAGCTATCGGCAAGCCACTGAGGGATTCGAAATATGTGGATATTTACCGTGAAAAACCCGTTCGCGTCTCTGTCAAGGTTTTGGTACCTATTCGTGAACACCCCAAGGTAAGATAATTTATTTGCATAAACGTTACATTATTACTTATTATCACAAATTATATTTTTAACGAGGTGCCTGTGCAAAGTAACTTTTTGCCAATTCTGCTTATTTATTTGATATCATACAAATGATCGTAAACATTTTTGAGATATTTCAGCTATGCAATTTGCTTGTTTAGTTTAACTTTGTCGGGAAATTGTTGGGTCCAAAAGGTAACTCTATGAAACGTTTGCAAGAGGAAACTATGTGCAAGATGGCAGTATTAGGTAGAGGCTCAATGAGAGACAGACAAAAGGTAGGATGTGTCTTGTTTTTATCTTAGTATGTTATTTCATTCTACATATAAAATGAATGTCTTGCCCATTCTTCATCTTAGGAAGAGGAACGTCGTTCTTCCTTGGATCCAAAGTATGCACATCTTACTGATGATCTGCATGTGGAGATCACTGCACTCGCACCACCAGCGGAAGCCTATGCTCGTATCGCTTTTGCACTTGCTGAGGTACGCAAGTACTTGATTCCCGATAATAATGACAATATACGTCAAGAACAGATGCGAGAGATGGAGATGAGTATGTCCGATGAGTCAACTACAGACGAACGTAGACCAGCTATGAGGGGGCCTTCAGCACCTGCTACTGGTGGCATAATAAGACCTACTACTAGGCCAACATTACCTAGGACATCTAGAGGTTGGTTGCATGTCTACATTAAGAATACGATGCCAAGTATGAGGATGTAAAGAAAAAATTGCCAGCTTTTACAGAATATGAATGAGAATATCCAAGAGATAAAGATAAGATTTTCATCTATTTCATGGTAATTAAAGGACATCTGTCAATTTGATTTTTCAGCCATTCTTCCTCCACCACCTGCAAATCGAGGCCCACTCTCTCGGCCTGTGCCACCTAAAACAAAAGTGTTTTCCATCTTGGATCGCGCGAGAGCTGCTATGGATCAGAGTTACGGGTGAGCTTGCATTCCTTAGGAGTATATACCACATGCTTGTTGAGGTAAGTCAAATAGTGCATCGAGTATTCTTCATCGTTACAGTTATGAAACTCCAACTCCTCCGCCAAGCAATCGTGTAGGATCGCATCATGATTATGATTACCATACAAGTTCGACTAGCACTACTCGATATGGTGATCGTCATTATTCATCAAACTCTGGGTATGTTTCAAAGCATTTATAATTAATGTTTTGAAAGAAACTTTTAATGTTGTGAAAGAAAACATACAACAAAGCATTTAAATTAATTTAAACTTTGCACTACTAATTGCCGTTCGTATTTCGCATAAATCTCTCTTTTTTCGTAAAGATGCATTATTTAGACTTACTTTCATTTGGATATCATTCTATGTTCATGATAATAAAGTTCCTATTTTGCAATGATGTATCAGTCATGTTATACAATTACTACCGCTAAGTGTCGGATACTTTTGTCTTTTCTTAACAGAGACGACATGTATTCCTCTTCAAGATACACTACTTATGAATATGAAGATGATTCTGGACCACATTCTTCACATGATTATTACGAATCTTCAGACTATCCAGGTAAAGTACTAAATGTTTTTATTATATTTGATCGACTAATATGAATTAAGTTAAAACTCATATTAAACAACTTTTTTAAATCCCATTTTTAATAACAATGAATTGGGCTAATAACTTCTGCAAATGTCTAAACAGATAGATTTGTGATATTAATATTTTCCACAAGTATGCTTGGAAGCTTGGAAACTTGCTCGGAGGCATAAACTTTGGAGAATTTTATGAAAACAATTTCTTGTGTAATTTCCGTAAAAAAATTAAATCATTGAGATCACACAGGGCAGGTATCATTTTAATAAAAAACAAATACAAACAATGTCCATGTATATATGTAAAATGAAAATATTTAAATGTGTCATGCATGAAAATGCATCGAGAACTAAAATTACTCAACTCATTTTAATTAAATGTTTAGCTTGATTCCGCGTGCAAGAAGAATATCAAACAATTCTTTAATGGCCGTGACGCGAGAAATCGAACATAAGATAATAATAATAACGCGAGATATCCCATAACTAGACTCTTATTGGCCCGTTATTCTTACTGGTTGGCCAGAAATGTTTAGTCATTAATAATAATATAAAACACACAGACTGATCAAACTATTATAAAATCTAATGACATGTGAAAGAGGGGAATACGCCCCACCAGCGGCGATTGCCGAGCGACGCTCGTGCATGCGATTGAGCTCCTCGCGACGACGGAGGCGATATTTTCGAAAATGCGGTGCCGCATTGTTTTATCGCCCGATTTCTCGCCGCTCTCGTAATTTCGACTCACGAGCATTGTTACATAGGTAAAGATCTGTGGAAAACGACGAGCCGCCCGTAGACATTAGCACATAGTCTATTAACGATTATCGTGTGGTGTCCGTAATCCAAATAATTAAAACGTATCAATCCATGCAATTCGCAGAAGAATCATCGAGCCGCGCATGGAAATCGTACAAGACCACAACGACGTCGGGCACTACCTCGCGCTACCGCACCGCCCCGTATACTCGCCCTTCCAAGTAAACACCTATACAAAAATCATCCGTTAAATTTATATCTTGTTATTAATCATCCACATGTTCCTCTAAATATTTTCTTTTTCTGAAACATTATTATTTCATAGCACTAATCCGTCGGCGAGTAATCCTCCTAATGCACGGCGGCCTATGATGCCCACGATGCAGAAACCGGTAAACGAAAGAAATCGTCCGTAAACAGTTGCAGAGAGGCACGGGGACTAACACGATGATTAAAACGGTAACGACGCGCAAATATTATCACTTTCTCTATCTTGATGATTTGGAGCAAGTACAAAATCAGCAGAGGCGTTCCATTCTCTTACGCTGAAAAAAATCTATTCGGAAGATCCGTCTTTCATTCAATTTCTCCTCTTCGCGAGGATCATTCATTCAATCATTCCCATTCTTTCTCTCTTTTCTTTCTTTGGTTGCGGAAATCAATCATCTTGATTTTATTATCCTCCTCGGTTTTTTCTTTTGTGTATATATAAACTCAATGATTTTCAGATGAATTCTCGCGGACGCTGAAAGAATAAACAGAAACTGACTCATAAAATTAAAATGGGTGTATTTGTTATACTGGGTGGGTCTGATAATCAACACGACATCGTATACGTGAGCAAGTAGAACATGCAAATGCTGTGTTGCACAATTTAATTATGATAGTTATTGACAAAATTGATTAAGATTGACGAATGCATGAGCGCCGGAAGTGGAAGAAAACAATAGAAGCAGTACTGTAGACATGACTACGCGCTGAACGAATGAATTTGTAAGCTACGCGTCTTTTTGAAAGCCAACATTAATAAATGGATAATTTTATTTTATTGCTGAATTCCAGTGTATAGTTCTTATTCAGCTCGATCATAAATATTGGAACAGGTTAAGTACGCTTCTAACAGATAATTCTACGATCTTACGGCATACGTAACTGCCGATTTAACAGCCGATTTTCTTTAACTTCCTTTTTGATAATCTTTCAATTTTTCTTCAACTTTTTGATAGCTACTCCGGAAATTGCAAAACGGTGTAACATGTTCTCGATAAATTCAACGTACTCTATCTGCTCGCAAACAGTATTGTGTTAATTATCTGATACCTTCGTGTATGTAGTATATATATATATATACTATATATATATATATATATATGTGTGTATATTTATACTATAATACTATTACCACTATAGTAATTACTACTACATGCACCTAACCTCGCATAAAAATTTATTCCGTTGGAAATTTTTAATCGATTTAAACTTTTACCCCATTAACGATATTAAATGACCCAAATTACCCAAGTTACAATGATTAATTTTCTGGAAAATCATTAATCCCCTTTCCCGGAATTCCCTTCCTAAAATTTCTGACCAAGGAAGGATTAAACTATTGACAAGGAAGTAAAGGATCAAGAGGATCGCATAAAATGCATAAAACGTTGAGACAAGCGATTAACATCGCGTAAAGGTGAAATGACAGCTACAAGATTGTGTCTTGTATCTGATTACATTTATTAATCGCATACATATATTCCTAAAAAGTCGTAGTATGTACTTAATTCCTTCGTATATCTGTGTTGATCGAGCTGAATAAGACACACGGTAAAATTCTACGAAATCTTTGACCAAGCTACTCATTTATTTGTGTTTTGAAAGCATGTAGCTTTTGAAATTCGTATATGTTGAGATATATTCAATAAAATATTATAGTGTCATAAATAGAATAAACTAAATAAGTAAAATGAATCACACAGTGCTAATTAAATTTATAAACTCATAAATCAAAATTATAAGTTTATGAAAGTCACTCTAATACGACGCTATGTTATTTATTTAATATGCATAGTCAGTCCCAATCATAAAATGCATAATATGTAGATTTACACGCGTAAAGAGATATTAATTATGTAATGTAGACTGCTCTGATTCATGACAAATCGAAGTGTAACTGATAATTTCAAATACGTAAACAAAAACATTGAATATGATCTCTAAACAAATCTGTCGTTAAAATAATAATACATTCATTCTGTACACTTTGTAACTATCATAAATTGAAATAAATATGACGTAATAACAGAGGAAGCATTTTATATTGAAAAATACATTGAAATAAAACTCCCCGACCACCAAATGCGCCAAGTCTCTTCAACAATCTTAAACAAAAGAAAAATATGTACATATCTTTGCGCACGATATATAGTTTTGCGTTTCGTGGCTAAATCTTGCAGGAATCTCTCTCCACTTTTCGTTCTCTAGGGCTTGTGTTTGTCATTCTTCTTTGTGTTGAATTTTCTTCTTACAAGAGCCATTTAACCCCTTGCACTATGATTTAGTACAACACACGTCAAACTCGGTGATAAAGCTGCATCTGTAATGCTCATAGGTCTATATAAATCATAAGTTGCAAAACGCAAATCGCAGACGCAGAACAACGCAGAACAGACGCGTACACGTAAAAATTGAACCACGAGATCTTGTGTTTCTTATGTTTGACCAGCGAAACATATGACGATCTTACTCGTGCTTCTTATATTTCTTTATGGTCCGATATACGTATCGCAAGCCTGACACGTGGTTTCTTATGTTTGGCTCACAAAGCATATCACGTGTCTCATACGCGTGTGAAGTTGGCTCCGCACTTTACGAATTTTGAGTTTTTCTTTATTGTGCCGTATTGTGCTATGTTTGTGCTCGCATTTGCGTCGCAAACGCGAGACCGATAACTTCAATAACATTTGAGAAAAAAAGTAACAACAAAAATTTGTCAGCCTCGCACTTTTGTCCGAATGAACCCAGTTTTTGTTTGTGAATTCCTACTAATTTGTGCCGTTTGAAGAAACTGGATATCTCCTTTCGTTCAGTAGAGAAAAAATGTTAAAGTTAAAATATAAATTAACAAATAACTTTTTCTACGATGCATTTATCGCAGGTCTGCAAGTTGTGCGCTAATCGAGTACAATAAGAAACCACTTAGAGATGTATCGAAAACTACTCAGATTGCAAAGAAAGTTTACAAAAATTTTTCACATTTTCGAAATTTCGAAAGTTGTGCCGGATTGTGCTAGTCAAACCCAACAACTTCTTCCAATTGCAAAATATCCTCAGATACTTTTCGCTGGTTTTCGCAGTACGAGCATTCAAAGAAAGTAATTTTTAGAAATAATTTTCAGATCACTGTAGTTGCGAATTGCGGTGCAATAATACGGCATAAACGTAGCACAATGCAGCACAATTCGAAAAAAATACAAAATTCGAAAAGTGCGGGGCCAACTTCACACACATGTGTCTCACACGATATTATGGCATAAGAAGTTAAACTATGTAAAATACTTGTATAATCACTAATAAATCAGATTATTAATTGCAAGTGATAAAATCAGTAAGTTTTACATGTTAAATCGTTAAATCATTAACGTGTTAAATACACGTCAAGCACGTATCGAGAATATATCATATCAAGTACGTGAAGAGAAGAGAAGAGAGAAAGGTATATTCGATGTGGAGAGCCGAGAGTTAATTCTAAGTTCCAAAGTTACCCAGTTCGCTCGCGAACATGGAAAGATCGTACATCCTCCCGTCTTGTTCTAATATTGATGTTCATGTATTTCACTTAGGTGGGTAAAGGGTCGAGAAGATCGCGTGGGAATCGCGCTCTTTGTGGCATGAAATATATTTGGTACTTCCGATCAACGGATTTTCAAATGCCGTGAATTGATGTGAGTACACTCTTTACATTTTATTCGCAATTATTCGCTACAAAATGTGTGGGACTGGCGTATAATTGAACTATTTGCTTTGTGTTAAGAAAAATTTTTGTTGATCTGCTTATAAGAATAGGAGATAAGAGACACTCGAGAATAATAATCTGAATAATATTTGTAGGATTTAATGAAATATACCAGTAGCGTTTCTTATGGGAAAATGGAAGCACACAACACGCATCTATCCTCGGCAAATATTTCTGGTATGTCGGGATCGATCAAAAGACTCGATCACTGCATGTGAAGTTTGACTTTATTTTATTCGATAGAATCGAATTATTCGTCGATCAAGTAACAATCGTCGTTTTCTACAACAATCGTTCTCACAGCATTCGTACACTATGATCGTATAAAAAGCGGCCGGTTTATTGTCGAAAAAAAGCACCGGAAATCGAATCGAATTTCGTGATTGACGACCAGCTTAGGTCAACTTTATATTATGACCGATGTTGATCTCAGATCGATTAATAAAGGCAATTAAGAGAGAGAATATTTCCCTGAAAGTATCATTTAAAATAAGAAATCCGCAAATCATAGAATATAATGTACCGAGTGTGGAAGAGAAGCGAACACAACGTTCGCGGAACTATCGAAACAAAAACGAAGCAAAAAGTGTAAACTTATTCCCTGCTGTCAATAAACGTCGCTCGTTGTCGAACGCCGCGCAAACACGCAATCAAGATTTGCTCGACCTTCAGAGCGGTCAAACATACCTTCGTACGTCGCGCGCTTTTCCAGGCGTTTAATGTGTTCCCGGCCGGCGAGTGGCGCGCATTGAAACGTTCTTTTTCATTCTGCCCGGGTGATCGAAACATTTCGTCGGTCCTCCAAATACTTTATAAGACTCTCGTCGGCGTTTGCGTTATTCAACACGACTTACTTTCGATCGAATCGTGTGTACGCGAGTGTCGGTGCTACAATGGAGCAGCCTAGGCAGGATGCCAGGACAGCGAGCCACGGGAAACGACGTCGTATGTTCTCAAGGTGTGCCAAATTATTTATTTTACAGCCGTTTGTACCGAGAATAAAGAAATACCCGAGTCGAAGTTTAGTTTAGCCGGCGTTCATAGTCCGTTATCATTTGATAATTATAGTTTCACGAATCCTCGATTATTCGTCAACTCAACCCAAACTATTTGATACATTATTTTGTATAAGAAAACTGCCACAAACAACCAAATAACGGTCTGAATGAATACGCATCTGTAATTAATTGTTATCAATTAAAAATATCGATTCATTCATAACTATGAACATCGGCTTTGGAAATTAATTTCAATCTCAAGTGCAAATCTCTTCAAGTGCTGATTTTTACGTCCAATGATGCTCTTCGGTTCATCGCGCCGATATAGACCCTCGTTTTCATCAGCCAAAAAAACCTTTTTATTCTGCTTAACTTTATTATTGTACGAAATTCAAATTTAAATTTCCGTTGGTAAATACTGCATTGTTGGATACGTAATTGTTATCTTTGCCTTTACAGCTTCTTTTCGAAGCTACGCGTTTTGTCGAGACTTTCAACGTGAGAAGAAAAAAGATATTTTAAAAACAAAAATTTTTTTTACGCCTTTTATTTACTTACCCCTTAACCCTTATTTTGGTATATTAATATTTGCTAATCTCACGCATTACATTTGTAGCTGTACAAGCTATATTAAGAAATTATCGATTAAAATTGAAAATTATTCATTTTACATTCAGACAATAGGAATGAGAATAATTATATATTTTATGTCATATATTCAGATTACATTCAAACAAAATAGTGAGATTATCCAATATTAAATAATTCTGAGGTAAGTCTTTCTTCACTTCGAATGACTTCGAGACAACATATGGAGAAAACGGCAGCAATAAACGGCATTGGTGGAGTCCAAGGTAGGACTATAACTTATAACGCCTACTCCATAATTAATCCTTCAAGTCCAGTGAAATTTGCAGGATTAATGTGGAATCCAAATTTCGACTCGGGTAATAATAGCTTATAACACGTTCGTTAATAATGGTGATATAAACGGATAATAATGATAATATATAATTCTATTTTGCCGATTTGATTTTGATAGCTTAATGTTTATTATTTATGTATTTATTATTTATATATGTTTATTATTTTGAGAGTTCTCCTCATAGACTATCTTTTCTTTTTTTAATGTAACTGTATAAAACTGATTTTATGTGGAAAGGAAAAAAAATATCACACACGTGTGTGACACAGATAGAACGAACGTGTAATATTATCGCGGCTATAAAAACAGACTGGTCTGTAGATTTACGGACTTGTTGTTGTACTCAAGGAGAATACTCGTCTCCTCAAATCGCTCTTAAAGCGAGCTTTCGAAATTTTGCCGGCGGCAGGCCGGCAACAATTTTCCGCGAAAAGTGCGGCCGTTAAGATGTTAACGTCCGTTGGGGACGTTCCAAGTTATCCGTTACATTCAGAACGAATTCCGACTTTCGTCGTAACGTTTTCGCGCAAATCCCGCGATGATGTTGAGCTGTAAACAGTTTTGCGTGATACTTATTATCACGCTGCTATTTATTTCCCATACAATTCTCATACAGTGCTGGATGTTTTGCCGGCGTAACGATAAACTAATTATCGGCGACCTTGTTGACCTCGTTGCGATTGCATACGGCACCCCCGTCGCCGCGGGTTCGCGTCGTATCCGATGTGGCGGGGATGCAACAGGTCGTTCCGGTTCGCATTTTACTGAAACTTACCGCGGTCTCCGCGCGATTTGCATATCACCGCGTCGTATCATTCTTCCGCTCCTTCGTTTCTCTCTCGCTCAAGTATAAATTTGAAAACTGAACTTTTTAAGTAGTAAATTAAAGCAGAGTAACTTTAAAGGAAATTAAACGTTTAAATCTCTCTGAAAAGTGAGACGGGACCGCGCGTAGGCGTCCCCTCCTTTTCTGAGAATTACGTTATCCAGCGCACGTTGTGCCGCAATTTTTGCGCGCTCTCCCCTCTGCAACGGGTACTGATTTTTCATCACGAGGAATTGCTTAGAAACAATATTCTTATTTATTTATCACACACCAATATACAAAAATGAACTGTATAATCAATATCAGAATATAATATACTACGAAAAATTCAAATATATTTAATAAAGATATATCTGTGAGTATATCTTACAAGATTAGAATGATGCTTCAACTTGAAACAAAAATCATCTACAACATTCTTTGCAGTTGGCACAGAAATTCTGGTAGAAAAACGTATTTCTACGGCCGTCCTAAGGATTATAAATAAGTATTAATTTACGGGAGTCCTTAGCTTCTAACAAATCGCCTAAGTAGTCGTGAGTGAAAATAAGATGTCGAGTTTTCCCATTTTTTCTTTTTTTCGTTTTTTTTTTTTTCCTAACTTTTTCCCTAACTATATTTTCTCTGCGTATATGACCTGGGAGCCGGAAGTTGCTGCTTCGTTTTCACTACATATCCGTTTCGCGTTAGAGCGCGACCGAAGCACCGCGCTGTGGAACGTTCACACAATACATCTTGTATCTGTTGAAACGCATGCTTAAAAAATTTCGGTCATACTGTCCTGTCGTGATACGTGATCGGTTAAACAATCAATCGTCGTGTCTTGCCCGCATATTCTTCTCTCGTCTTATGCGTCATTTTTGTTCACTGAACGATTTCACAATATATCAAATTAGTGACGTTTTCTGCGACGTGCGTTGAGAAATGCGTTTCGGTATGGCTGCGCGATCATTGGTAGAGTGATCCTTATTCGCATTCGCTCACGAGTCATCGACTTCTTCACGTCCCGATGTTTCCTCGCGCGACATTCCGAGCGCATTTCCCGTCGCGGAACGCTGCTGCGGAAGCGTTTTAAAGGCGCGTAATAAAGATCACGCTACCGAGAGATCTTCTCTCGTACGTCTCTCCTCTAGATTTATGTACTATATTATTAACGAAGTTACTTGCGTATGTTACTGACGTGTGGCGTACGAACGTAAAATTATACGCGATACAGATACAAATACAGAGTATCGGAGACGCCAGATTCTCGAGGGGAGGGGGGAGGGTGGCGGAGGGGAGGATTTCGCGCGGGGGATGCGTTTTAACATTTACAAAATCGCTTTTATACGCCCGCGGACGCAGAGGTGACTCTACCGCCGACCGCGCGTGGCGAGAGGCGACGATGATGACGCCGCCGCCGCCGCCGCCGCCGCCACCGCCGCCTCGAGCGGCGGTGCTTGAAGACGCGCGCTCGCGGGAGCCTCGGCTGCACGAGAGGGGCACCTCCTCGTACTCGCGAGGATCCGTCATCGTCGTCGTATTGCCGAGAAAGGAAAAGAGAGAAAGAAAGAGAGAGAGAGAGAGAGGGAGAGAGAGCGCGAGAGCGAGCGTGTGTGAGTGTGTCTGTGCTACGCACACGACACGTGAGAATGCGAAGGTAAGATCCTCGCGAGGAGAGAAAGAGCGGGCTCGCGTATGCGTACGGACGTATACGATTAGACTCGTAGATGAGTTACGACGATTCTCGGCTCTGAAGCTCACGCGGAATCCTTCCCGGAGAGCCACCTCTTAGTCCACGATAACACACCGTAAGACGTGAATGTTCGTGACTGCGACATCGATCGTTGGATACCACACGACGACGAACCGGTTTCTCTCGCACTCTCTCCACGACCACCTTCTCTAATACTTCGCCTCTATGAAAAAACATGGAATGTATAGTACCTTTTATCGGTTTACATCTTAATAATGTACGATTATATCACAAGAAAGATTCAAATATTCTGTACATAATCCGCGACGACTGTCGAAGCGCCCCCGGACTCAGGTTGCCCCCTTCTTTCTTCCTCTTCGACCTCTTCATCATCTTCCTCTGTCCTCTGTGTTCCTCTCTCCTCTTGCCCCACTTTTGCTCTCTTTCTCCTTGTATCGCCTGTCCCTTTTCTTCCTGTTCCGTGCTATCTCTTCGTTAAATCTTACATTTACATACGCCTAAGATTTAATTACAAAGTTAGATATGTCTCAGGTTCACCTGGTATTGTACTTCATACAATCTCTCTCGTGACTGGCGAGTCAGCCCGAGATGTACACGCGGCCGACGAGCACATGTGTGTGCCGTCGTATTCGAGAAAACGAGACGAGACGAGACGAGACGAGACGGGACGGAACGGGACGAGACTGTGTTTCGTCGCGCGCGCGCGTCCACGTTGCATGTCCGACGAAATTAATACTTCGTTCTTTCACGCTCGGTCCCGGCCGCTTGTCGCTTACGTTAGTAGCTCGATATCGATAATTGGCACATCTTTTTAATGGCAAGTTTCGCATTGGCACGCACTTTGTGAGCCCAGAAATGGCCTCGCGCACGGCCCCTCGAGGGAGAGTCCAAACGCCGACGTGAATGAGCCCTCTCTCTCTCTCTCTCTCTCTCTCTCTCTCTCTCTCTCTCTCTCTCTCTCTCTCTCTCTCTCTCTCTCTCTCTCTCTCTCTCTCTCTCTCTCTCTCTCTCTCCCCCTCTCTCTCTTTCTCGGGTAACGAGAGCAAAAACGACTCAATCTTAATCGCGATTACGAGGAGCGCTCCCGGACCGAGAAAATAGCAGTCGCAAGATCGTGAAGTCGGGAAGCACGCGCGCTCTGCGCAACGAAACCGCCTACGCGCGCGTTTAGAATCTCGTCGGAGGGACCTCGGTTTCGGCCATTCCTCGGGCTTTAACGTCGTTTCTGACTATCACGCGAGTAGTATGCACCCATGAAAGGCAGAATGTATCCTTTTGTTGCGGTTAATCGCACGACGCTCCCTTGTGATTGATACCAGCTGGGGTGACCGATACGTCGGTTATCGGGGAGTAAGTTGCACTTTGACGCTCTTTCGTCCGTATGTAAAAAAGCTCGCTGGTCCAGCTAGGTTTACCGAGACAAAGACAGACAGACAGAGAGAGAGAGAGAGAGAGAGAGAGAGAGAGAGAGAGAGAGAGAGAGAGAGAGAGAGGAGAGAGAGAGAGAGAGAGAGAGAGAGAGAGAGAGAGAGAGAGAGAGAGAGAGAGAGAGAGAGAGAGAGAGAGAGAGAAAAAGATAGAGATAGAATTAGGGAGGATAGAAAAGAGAGAAGGAATAATTCTGAATATTATTATACGCGTAAATCGTAGAAAATTGAATAGTCCAAAATGCCAGAAACGTTGAAAAGAGAGTAATAATAATAAGTTTTGATCATTTTTTCTTTTTTCCTCTGTCTGCTCGTGATGCCTCCTTGCCGATTACACGAGAATCCTTTTCCTCGTTCGTGCTTTTAACTGATCTGTGAGTTTCACCTGTAAATTGCGGATTGCTGCTGCTTACATTAGTCGCTACGACACACGTAATGAGACGATCGCGGATTCGCGCGAGAATGTTGCGAGAGAATCGCTCGAATTAACATTAATAGTAACAATTGCACTAAGTTCCTTGCGTTCGACGACTATCGTAATTATCTTCGCGAGATTATCTTCACGCGACTCTTTCGTCCCTCCTCCTCCGTTTTTACACAAGCCACGCTTCTCTCGTGCGAAACTTTCGACGGAAACGAGGTGGTGAATCAGCGCGATAAATCTAGGAAATCGGATGATTGCTACCCGTTTACATTCCTTTCGTATTCTCGCTTCTCTTCCTGTTTATCGCGTACACGCGTATTTATTATTATCAGCCCCCCTTTACTCATTGTACCCGCTCGCGTATGCACCAGCGACCGTTTCTTTCCACCCCGCACAGCAGATAACGACACTTTGCGGTCGCGACTGTCAACCACACACGCGACTACAAAATAGCCGGCGCGACGGGCTTGAAAAAAAGAAACGGAAAGGTAGCCGCTAGCTAATGTGCGCGGAGGGATTACACAAAATACTACAGAAAGAAAGCGGCAAGAAGACGCTTCGTACGTGTCGGAAAAGGCGACCAGCGAGAAAGAGTCGAGTCCCTCGTCCCTAAGTTCCCGACGGGCTCCGTCACGAGTGGGAATGTTCGTCCTCCCGTTCCCTAACCACCGACTATATCCCTGATTGCACGTTACATCGCACGCATACGACGCATACCCTGCGTGTCGAATTGCCTAACAGAGAAGCCTTCACGACCAGCCAACCTCGGGCGTACGGCACCGTCGTCGAACACGGCGGCGCGTCGCGAGCGCGCGAGTGCCTCGCCGCACGTCCGTCTACGACGCGTGTACGCGGTTCTTCCAGTGGTCCACTGCGAGAGAGCTTTCCGCGACGGACGCTTGACGCGCGGCCAGGCTCATTCATACGGCCAGGAGTGCCTGATCGACGTGACCACGTTCGAGGTAGGCGGGTCTTCCGGGCGTCACTTCTTCATGTCGTTCATCAGCGTGCCGTCCTTGCTCTTGTTCGTGTCGAGATTCGACTGCTGACTGCTTGTCACGCCGCTGCCGTTCCCCGGGTACATCTTCTCCAGATGATTCAAAGATTCGCTTAGGAACTTCTGCAACGAGATCGCAAAGAGACTCGTGAGAGACTAGCGTAGTGTTGGACACAGAGTTCTTATCGTCATCCTCTGGGTCGGCGGCTCAGGGTGATCATGAGACGAGAAATAGAGTGATGCACCGAGAGAACAGGTCGGTCGAATCGACGTGACGCAACAGATGAATCGAACGCGAGTCGTTTTGGTCGAAGGGGGACGAGACATCTCTGACTCTCCAAGTAGCGAACTTGGTTCGGAAGAATCAGAGATTCCCTTCGTTGTTTCCCCTTCGACCACAACGCGGTTGCTTCGTTCATCGTCACATTGGTTCAAACCTTTTCCTTCCACACAAGTGCATAGGACTTGGTCTGCGTAGCAAACGCTAAATACATTCGCTTCATCAGTTTCAGCTTAAAAACAAGGAAGGCGTATTTGGTGTTTGCTCCGCGTGTTTAAAATGCAGCCCCAAATCTGGACTAGAGCGCACTTTGCGCGGTCCGTGTGAAGTGCGCGACAGCGCAAGACCTTCGCAAGTTTTGATCGACTCCTGATCGTGCTTTCGACAGCAAACGCATGAAAGCGTTTCTCGTCGAAAATCGAGGATGCAGAGTAGGATACGAGAGATAGATAGCGAAGGTTTTCTTCGTCGCGTTGTACCTGTATAGCCGTTAGGGCGGCCACGATCGCGGGACTTCCGAATCCGTGTGATATGAGCGAGAAATGGGTGAGATGTCTCTGTATACTGGGATCGAGGATGTGTTGCGGTCGCGTGTTGCAAAGCGGCGATCGGTCCTGGTTCAGAAGGTCCATCAGCTCTTTGGTGATTTGTCTGAAAGAGAAGAGCGGCCGGTTTCAGAGCCGATTACTCGACCTTTCCCCTTTTTATGACAGAGCGACAGACACGTTTCTTTCTTTCTTTCTTTCTTTCTTTCTTTCTTTCTTTCTTTCTTTCTTTCTTCCTTCTCACCAAACGTATCGTCGCGACAGTATGTGACAATGATACTAGTTGACATCACGTTGCATACTCACTTGGTGGCATGAAGAAGTTCTTTCCTCCTGTAGGAATCCTGCGGCTCGCAGTGCTGCCGACTTAGGTACTCGGCGACCTGCTTCGCCGGGAATTCGGTCTCGCACACGTAGCCGAAGTCTCTGGCGAGGTGAATAGCTTCTCCTGAAAGGAGACAAAGTGTTCGCAATACAGCTAAGAGCGCACAATTTTATTATGTTGGTTCAATGAGCGCGCGTAAATCAAGCCGAGAATCAAGGAGAACGCGTAGCAGGGCTCAAAAAGGTCTCAAAGGGACGCTCGCGAGCATCTTACGAAATTTTTGTCATCCTGAGGCTTGGTTTCTCTCTCAATCTCTTTCTCTTAGCGCGTTCATGACGTTGTTTCAACTTGGCAGTCAGAAAGGCACATTTATCGTCAGCGTTCCCGGGATTATAAATTATACTTGAAGCTTCGCTTGTCTCAAACCTCGAACATATCAAACAATATCGTCTCCAGGCACGAGGATCGCACGCGAGGATCTCCTCCACGCGTGAGAAGGTCCGCCCCCGCCACTGCATTCCTCGTGGAATGCTCCCGATGATCCTAAAAGGCTCCGATGCGGCGGAAACGCTCTTGCATACGTCGAGATTTCTCGCGGGACATCGATGGGCGTCTAAAGGTCGATTCACACTATACGGCACGGACCGTCACGTACCGGCAACAACACGTACCGGCACCGACACGACGAAACTTTAAAACGCGTTTTAATGAAACTGCCCACACTAACCGACACCGACCTGCACTGATAGAAAAATATAGTTGAATTAACTATAATCTCACTATATTTTATAGTTCATTTGGGCGTCAACCATATTTTTATAGTTCGTGGAACCTGCAAAATATAGTAGAATAAACACAAATATATAGGCAATGATTGTCTTAAATAATTGTTTAGTTACTTTTACCACACATATGATAATTTCTCTTCTCATTCACAAATATAGTGAGATTTAATATTCACGTAGTTACATCTGTCATCATTTTGCAAATATTCTGGTAATATTGACTATATAAAAGAGTTACTTTACCTACCATTTTATATTTCTATTCATACTTAAATAATTTTAGTTTAACTTGTTATAATTCTTAGTAGAAATATTATATGGTTGGTTATACTATGCCTATGTCGTAATTATTACCGATATTATGGTAATACTTACTACAAATATGATATTTCGGACTATAATTTAGTTACTATATCATTATAGTTCCAAATATCATATACTTTTCTCTCAGTGTGCATGTTCCGTCAACGGAACGTACCGGCACCGACCGACGTTCTTGCGAGCAATGTTTTGACGGTACGGGTCGGTACTGGTACGCCAGTCTGAATTAGGGATGTCGATTTTTTTTCAAACAGATCGATTTAAAGATCGATTCGAATCACGAAGAAGAAAATCGGTTTGTAAAGAATCGATTTCAGAAAATCGATTTGAATCGGTATGCATGTAAAGTGAACCACTCACTAAAGTGAGTAATATATTATCTGTCAAATTTCTACACTCTAAAGTAGACCTCGTGTAATTCATGTAAAGTTTAATATGAATTAAAGGGATTAAACAGATGGTTGTGTCTTTGGTTGTGATGGACTCTTTTGGTTGTGTTGTGTGTGGCCACAACAAGATAGAAAAAGATCTTTAAATCTTTATGCTAAGGATTTAATTAGTTTGATTAAACATCAATCAATCAAGGGTTTTTAAACGTTATTAAATAAGAAATCACGTTTACTATTATATGCATATACATATATATATATAATATATACTATCATATGGAGTGGCTGTGGCTTTGGTTCGCGCGTTCCGTTCCGCTGAAAATTTTCGCCCATGGGACATCGGCCTAAAGGCAACGTGATGTGCATCGTGCTACCATTAAGTGAGTTCAAATATTACAACTAAAAAGAATAAAAAAAAAAAACTATTATATATTACTAGTAGAAACTGAAAAAATCGTGTTGGCAATTTTCAGAATTTACAGATCGATCCTCGAATCGATTTAGTTCCAGAAAATCGACTTGAAATCGATCTTTTAGACTCCGATTAAATCGATTTAACATCGGCATCCTTCGTCCAGTAGTCATCCTGAATCAGTAAGCGGTAGAAAACGGACGCAGCAGAGGATGGAGCAGAAAAAATTAAGCGAAAATGTTAATATTCTGTCGGTGAAATTGCCTCACGGGATGATATATGTTGTTTCTGTAGTACAGGTTCAATTAATTTTAACAAATCATAAAATTTACATTGCGGCATTCTAAAATACTGATAAATCTTGCCGTCGTATTTTAGTAACAATGTCTTTGAACAATGTCCAATGTTCTCCTCCAAGCTTTCTCTTTTTTAACATTGGATGTATCCATTTTCGATTTCTTTTCTTTATTTTTTTTTTCGGCTTCCTCTTCGTCTAAAAGTAGGATTGTAAGAGCCAATTTATCGTCGCTGGATGATCCATCTATCGTGACGGCAACGTCAATTGACGGACAGTCAATTACCGGAACAGTCTGAACCATATGCATTAATTTGTCGTGTCGGTGCCGGTACGTGTTGTTGCCGATACGCGACGGTCCGTGCCGTATATTGTGAATCGACCTTAATTCGTAAGGCATTCCCTGAGCTTCCCCCGGCCCAATTCGGAACGCGGCGGATAGTAAAATGAGGTTTCAGCAAGACCGTCGCGCGATGACTGACAGCCTTCTAATTTCAGCGTAATAACGGCCGTGTGGTGCGCCGGCAAGATTGTTGCTCGCGCAAGAAGCTCGCTCGCACGCACGCACGCACGCACGCACGCACACACACACGGGGCCCTCGGGGCTCAGATCGCCTAGATCGCCGTGGAACGGGCGGAGTTATATTTGGAATCATTTTTTCCGCCCGTTAGAACGCACGCGCGCGAATTGCGATTGAAAATACCATTGGCCTCGTAAAATTTAATCGCCGCGTAAGTGCGCGACACGCGTGAAAGTTGTGGTCGCTGCCCTTAGCGCGAAAGTCATTACTGCTAATCGTTTTGCGGCCCTGCAATTCGTCCGACTGCGCGATTTCGCGACGCGCGACCTTTGAATGTATAGATTTGTGTGAAAGCTTTTTATCCCTCACTGAGAGAAAAGTATACGATATTTGGAACTATAATGATAATAGTAACTAAATTACAGTCCGAAATATCATATTTATAGTAAGTATTACCATAATATCGGTAATAATTACGATATAGGCATAGTATAACTAACTATATAATACTTTTTACTAAGAATTGTAGTAAGTTAAACTAAAATTATTGTATGGATACAAATATAAAATGGTAGGTAAAGTAACTCTTTTATATAGTCAATATTCTTCCCAGAATATTTGCTAAATGACGACAGATGTAACTACGCGAATATTAAATCTCACTATATTTGTGAATGTGAAATTGCCGTATGTGTGGTAAAAGTAACTAAACAATATTTATTAAGACAATCATTGACTATATATTTGTGTTTATTCTACTATATTTTGCAGGCTCCACGAACTATAAAAATACGGTTGACGCCCAAATGAACTATAAAATATAATGAGATTATAGTTAATTCAACTATATTTTTCTATCAGTGTTGAACTCATCAATTCTTGCTCTTGGCTCTTGCCCTGCTCTCTTTAAATTTATCTCGAGGATGAAAAGCAGCAGCGTCCGGACGCGGTTGACTTTGGACGCTTCCCTCGCGTTGAGAAATAATGGATTCATCATCATTAATTAAGTCGTTTTGTATCGTTATATAAGAATAAACGAAACAGCTTCTTAGCCAAAGTGGAGAGTATGGGGTGGAAGTGGGGTTTAATTTGTTGACTCTGTTAACAATTCGTCATGCAAAGCGGATACCCGGACATTGGCTTACGCTTGCTCGGTGAGACTTTTTGCTTATTAAACTCTCTCCCCCCGTGGGGAATAATATTTAATTAATTTACCGTTACTGTCTTAAGGTAAATAGTCTGGTCTTTAACTCGCGTGTTAATTGCGCGGGGAGATTCCCTTTATGGCTCGGTTTTACATAACAGCGTCTCCGCGGTGGCCTTAACTTACGTCCGGAGAGATTCACCTCGCGGAAGATTTTAATTCAGCTTCCTTTGACGCGCACGTTGATTCTTCGCTCCCTTCTGAGCCGTCACATGTTCATTTCAATTAATTCCACCATTTTTCTCTCTTACTTATCGCAGCCAAGTTGAACATCTTACGGGCCGAATAAAATCACCGAGTTAAAAAAAGTTAGGTCGGCGCGAAAGATTTGTCGTTTTTCCGCGAGATTTTCTCCCAGGAGGTTTTCTCGGCAGGAGCAGGTTGGCTGCTACCACCCGAAAGGAAAATAAAAAGTCCACGTTGGATAGAAAGAAAAAAGAAGGAAGAAAAATATCGAGTCGATATTGTGCTCGCGTTATTTGTAAAAATGATTAACCTCCCGAAATTGGATAACTTTGTTTTCTATTTTATTTGGCAAACACGACAGAAGTCCGTTCTTGCGCCAACCTGATGCCTCTTCGTCCGCAGTTTGCCGTTTGCCGAGAGCTCCCGAGTGCACACAGCGTGCGCGAGAAGTGCAAGCCGGAACTCGCGTCGTGAGTTCTTAACCGATATTTTCGAGAATCTCGATTATCGCGGGCGTTATTACGGATATAATTCGCGGCATGCTTGGCGTATATACGCCGCGCTGTTCCACTTTATGCGATACATAAATTACAGCTCGCGCAGTGGCGACTGTCGTTATTTTAATAGACGCGCCATTGATCCCACGTGTTTATGCGCCGCTCTGTCGTAACGTTTTGTAGTAAAAACTTTTTGCTGCGGTCGACAATAATGACGACGACGACGACGATGATGGCGGAGGATAAAAAATGCGCGCGGCGGGGCAAACGCGAGCGTACACATTAAGCGAAACGAGACACCGCTAACGCAGCTATGAAAAGCGCGTAAGTAGTTTGGAACTGCCGATGTTTTGCGTTGTTTAACGTTACACAATGTTGCGTCACCGTCGCCGCTGTTACTCGTACTAGTTTTACGTAATCCCATTATGCAGCTCGTCCAGCGCATTCAATCAAGCTCGCGAGTGGAGACATTTTTTCGATTGATGCGAGTTGCTCTTTCTCTCTCCCTCCCGC